TCATGTACAGTTTTTCGATCCAAGAACCAAGGGCAGAAGTACAGCCAGGTAAAAGACCAAGCAATGGAGACGAAAGTCCCTGGCAGTTTCAAGTACTCTACAGAAAGCCCTTTCGAGTTTCAAGAACATTGAACCCCCTCAAGAACTTTCTGAGGCGGGGTGTTCGATTGTCACATAGTGCACGAGTATCCCAAGTAGGACCATTACCCTGTGAAGCAGGAATGCAGAGAACAGCATGAAAGCTTGCATGTTTGTCCGAACAGGCTTAAGCACCGCCCTCAGTGCGAAAGCAGGAAAAGTGTAGACCGTGAGTGTTTTGTTTGTAGAGTGGGAAGATGGCTGTAGAAGCCATGATTTTCAACACTCAAGGTGCACAGGCCCCTCCGGGTCAGGCGTGCTTGCAGGTGCCCGCGCAGGCTCAGGCGTGCTTGCAGGTGCCCGCATATGCACCGGCTCAAGGTGCACAGGCCCTTACGGGTGCCAGCAAAGGCACAGGCTCAAGGTGCACAGGCCCCTCCGGGTCAGGCGTGCTCGCAGGTGCCCGCACATGTACAGCAAGGTGCACAGGCCCTTCCGGGTCAGGCGTGCTTACAGGTGCCAGCAAGGCACAGGCTCAAGGTGCACAGGCCCTTCCGGCTCAGGCGTGCTCGCAGGTGCCCACACACTCAATCAAGGTGCACAGGCCCCTCCAGGTCAGGCGTGCCCGCAGGCGCCCGCAAATGTAGCAGATGCCACAGGTCCTCAGGTCCTTGTTGCAGCACATACCACCGTGGGTGTTATTTATTTATTTGTCAGGCGTCCCAGGTTCAGCAGATGCCGCAGGTCCTCAGTCCCTATTGCAGCACAGACCGCCGTGGGTCTTGTGCCAGGCGTCCCAGGTTCAGCAGATGCCGCAGGTTCTCATCAGGTCAGGTCCCTATTGCAGCGCAGACCACTGTGGGTCTTGTGCCAGGCGTCCAGGTTCAGCAGATGCCACAGGTCCTCAGGTCCTTATTGCAGCATGGACCACCGTGGGTCTATTGCCAGGCGTCCCAGGTTCAACAGAGTGCAGCACAAACCCCGTGGGTCTTGTGCCGGGCGTTCCAGGTTCAGTAGATGTCACAGGTCCTCAGGTCCCTATGTAGTCCAAACCACCGGGCACTTGTGCCAGGCGGCCCAAGCCCCAGGTGTGCACTGTGGAGGTTGGGATGCACCCGGAAAGTTCTCCTCTTGCGGAGAGGTGAAGGAATAAAAAGAGTTGCAGAACCAAGGGCAGGAAGCGATGAAGGAGATATGGAATCAGGTGAGGAGTCCTTAGTTGTGATGATGGCCTTGAAGAGTGCGCTTTCGTTTGGTAAATCAGGGTTATTCTGGCCCCCGTTGCACGGAGTACCGGAATTGCCAAGAGGGGGGGGGGGGGAATCCCAAAACCTGCAGTCACGCTGGGGGGCCCAAGTCCTTGCCAGTCGGTGCAAGCGTGCCGGGCTAGCTGAGGTGTAGTGTTAAATGTCCTTTAGTAGCATTCCCATCTACTCAAAATGCTTCCTCACATCCACTTGCCAATCATGCACCTAGCGCTGCGGGGCTCCGCAAAGGCGTCTTGTTGATGAGCCTGGCGGGCTCGTCTGTGTGCAGCTCTGTGCGTGGTGGCAGTTGGCGGGTGTGCAGGTTTTTGCATTCTTAGGTTTCTGGTCTGCCCCTCACTCTTGTGACAGTGCTAGTCGCAGCATAGGGCGGAGGCCGTGTCAGTACTTACCCGGCAGGGACGCTCCTGTTTCTGCGGGAAAAGTGCCTGGAACAACCGGCAGGGACAAAGCCTGTTCATGTTGGAGGGGTGCCCTCATGTTGGAGTGCCAGCAGTGAGTAGACCCTAAACTGCTGCCTAAAACTTCTTCAGAAGGCCCAGATGTGATTAGGACTCGCAAACGCTTGCCAGAACCTTCGCCAGAAGGCCCAGAAGGGATGACAGAATCAGCTGCTTCAGCCCTACCAGAAGGCCCAGAGGAGGTTAAGAGGAGGTTAAGTCGTGCACTCGAAGCTTGTGGTCCCTTGGGACTTGGGAGCAGCAGGGAGGCAAATCGCGAACCTGAAGCCTATCGGGTTTCAGGACCCGGCATGAAGTACAAGAGCGAACCTGAAGCCTATGGGCTTAAGCGACCTGGGAGCAGCACGCAGATAAATCGCAAACCTAAAGCCTATGGGCTCTCCGGACCCGGGAGCAGCAGGGAGCGAGATCTCGAGCCTGAAGCTTATTGACCTACGGGACCTGCGAGCAAGGCGGAGAGATATCACGAGCCTATCGGCTCTCACAGGACCTGAGAGCAGCAGAGATGTGTGAGCAGCACGCAGATAAATCGCAAACCTGAAGCCTATGGGCTCTCCGGACCCGGGAGCAGCAGGGAGAAAGATCTCGAGCCTGAAGCCCATTGACCTGCGGGACCTGAGAGCAAGGCGGAGAGATATCACGAGCCTATCGGCTCTCACAGGACCTGAGAACAGCAGAGATGTGTATCGTCTTGCGCAAACTGCCCATTCTGTGACAGGTTTGCAGTCGCAAAAATCTGCCGCTGCGCGGGGCAGTTGAGGGACCACAGTATCTTTAAGTTTCTCTCAAACTGTTGCCTCAACCTTCCCTGGAGGGCTCAGAGTGATTAGGCCTCTCAAACTGCTGCCTAAAACTTCTCCGGAAGGCCCAGCAGTAAGTAGGCCTCTCAAACTGCTGCCTAAAACTTCTCCAGAAGGCCCAGAAGTGATTAAGCCCTGCAAACGGCTGCCGGAACCTTCGCCAGAAGGCCCAGAAGGGATGTGAGGAACTGCTGCTTCGACCTATCCCTGCAGGTCCAGCAGTGACGAGGCCAAGCACTTTGCTGTGGGTCCCGCATCAGGTGTAGTCACGGGGTAAACCTGCTTGAAGTGCTCTCAAAAAATCGGCCGCTGCGCGGAGCTCCGAGTTCTAAGGCTCCTTGACTCTCACACTTGACGCGCGGTTGGCTGCAGACCGTTAAGCAGCCTTGTGGACCTTAAACTGCACCAGGCTAAGCACGCCAAGCCGATAGGCTCCCGGTACCCAAGTGCCAGCCAGCAGCCTTTGGGGCTCTTGCGCCGTCTCAAAATCGGCCGCTGCGCGGGGCTGTAACAATATGGCCTCTTGCAAGCAGCGCTCCAGGCCTGCCCTTTGGCCATAGCTACGTGAGGACGCCCGGACTCACACAGCGCAGACTGCAGCATAGTGTAGCCACACCAGCCCCTTGTCTGCCCCCGCTCGTCGGGGGGGAAGGCGGCGCCTTTTCTGGCACTCTGTGTGCATTGTGCTTAGTGTGCTTGCAACTTTCTTGCCAGCCACAATGGAGTCCTGAGTGCTATTGCTACGGCCCTGGCGCTTGTGTGGGGACTGTCTTTACGGACGCGTTGAGCAGTTTAGGTGACGGAGGTTCCTTGCCTTACGGCCTACCCATACTTTTGTTTGCATTGGTCTCACCATGCTGGCCGGGCGTTAAGTTGTCTTGCAATAAGGGCCTCTGCGCTGGCGGTTGCTTCTTTGTAGTCACGACTTCTTTTTCACTCGCTGGCTTGTACAGTTTGACGTTTGGCGCTTTTGGTTTTGGCGGGTTGCTGCGGGTTCTTGTGGTTGTGTTTTGTGGTGGTTTTGGTGTGTGTTTGCTTTGGTTTTCGCGCCTGCGACTGTTTCACCTCCAGTGTTGAGACGCACAAGAACGGCCTACTGCGCTGCTGATGTAGTAAAGAGGCATCGGTCCAAAAAAAAAAAGGATCACTGCGCAGAAGGCGAAGAATCGTAGGAGTTCTGCTGTCTGGAAGCTGTGCGGGAATGGACTTGTGACCTGCAACTGCGTTCCTGGTGTGGTTCACTCTGGTAAGACTCTGAGCAGCACGCTCTTACAACATGCAGCCATAATATACACAGTCCGTTTTTCGGCTGGAATACCAATACCCGGCATTGCTTTCGAACAGGAACGTAGCTGGCCTGTAATAACCCCTACAGCCATCAATTCACAGGTGCGGTTACCGTAATTGCCATCTTAGTTGGTTTACTCGGTGGATCGGCGGAGTCCATGAGACTCTGCGCAGCAGATCCTTCTCAAGCCGTCAAATAGGCCACAACTGCTGCTCTTGCATGCTGATGGATCTGATTTACGACAGTAGTCGCCACAACAAACAAGCCAGTTCAGAATGTTTGATAAGAGTAATCCAGACACACGAGACCCTTGAAGGCACACGCGTGTTCCAGTAACGCAGTTGCAGGTCACAAGCCCATTCTCCGCACAGCTTCCAAGCGCTTTCTCAGATGAACTTCTACGATCCTTCGCCTTTCTGCACGTGATCCGTGGGATGCTGCAAGATGGACACTGCGGGAGACGGCCATCCGGTACGACTCACTGCAGATGCATATCTGAGCGCGAGCGCTCCGTTGGTTTATCAAGCCCCCAAAACAGCGTTAATTTTAAAAGCGTTCTTGAAAGGCTTTTTCACGGTCGTGATATGTGGTCCTTTGATTTTGGGAACACCTGCGCGCGCTCTCAAAACGGAGCCATGTGTATAGTGTGTTTTCAACGAATCCGTATGAGCTTCACTGCACAACGTATTGCATTCATGATTTCTTCATAAGAACACATGAGCAAATTTTACTGTGATGCTTGATGTGAATTTTCACTGGCTTGTGTGTTGAGTGGTCTGGTCCAAGCCGGGCTCTTGCAGAGCTCAGAGTGAAAATTTTTGTGGGCCTGGTTCTGCTTAAGCTTGTGAGACTTCCAACAGGCTCTCTTTGCAACAGGCCTTGCCACAAAGGAGTTTGCCCTTAGGGCTCGTGCAAGCTCCCGCGCGGCGGGCAGCGGATGGTCATTGCGTCCGTCCTTGCTCGAGGCCGTGCCGCCTCCCAGAGGCTTTTCCTGGTGCCTCCGGGTCACTTTCCTTCGGGTTCTGTCTGGATTCGAGGGTTTTGCTGGGGCTTCCTTTGTGGCTTCTTTTCCTTCTTGTATCTGCTGTGCATCCTGTGAGCCTCGTACATGCAAGCCGTCGCGCTTCGGTGTGACCTCGGCACTTTGTGGACGCAGCCACGCGTTGCGCATTTGCTGTGGCACTTTCTGCACGTCACGGATCGTGTCCGCGTGCAGAGCATTACTTGGTGGATTCACGCAGATATCAGGTGGTTCATTTTTGAGCTGCAGCCTGCTTTGCCTGACAGCGACTCCAGCAGTGAGGACGCGCTCCTCCCGCGACGTGCGGGGTAGTGCCTGCAATGTCTTCAATGGCTTCGGGAATAGGGGGTTTGGTTATCAGCAGTCATGTGCGACATGTGTGGGCCTCGTCCAGCGCCTCAGCCTTCGATTTCTTGAAGCCGGATGCACTGTTGTCAGCCTCGCCCCTACTTCAGGACCCCAATAAGAGACCCAGGCTGTTGCCCGCTCCTGTGGGGCCTCTGCCTCCTTTGCCAGTTCCTGATGAACCTCGGCCTCAGTCAACTCCTCCAGAAATCGACTATGGGGTGAATGCATACTTGGCAGCTGGGTTGAAACCGTTGACTGCCAGGGATGAGACCTTGAGGTTGCAAGCAATTACGTATGAGCGGAAGTGCGCCCTGAAAAAGTGGTTGAGCTTAATCTCTGTGAACTTCCAGGCGTGGGAAATCGCGAGACGAGCTCTGGGCCCCTTCGAGCCCAGCTTTGCGTGCAAAGGCCTGGTAGACAGTGTCAGAGATGCTGCGGGAGTTAAGGCTTCAAGCACTTTGCATAACCGAGCCGGACCCCTGCTCCGGTACGTGAAGTATTGGAAGGGTCGTGGACACAAGTGCTTCCCCGTGAGTGAGGGGCAGGTCTACTCCTTCTTCAAGGACGGGGGAGATATGGCGCCCACCTTTCCAAGGTCCCTGATGATCTCCATCAGCTTCGCTGTGCACGTGTTTGGCTTGGTTTGGACTGATGACCCGCTGAGAAGCGGGAGGGTCAAGGGCTTGGTCGCTTCCCACTATGCGACGAAGCGCGAAGAAGTCAGGAGACCGGCTTTCACTGTGGAGCAGATCAAGGTGTTGGAGAGGATCGTCATGGACAGCGGGAGGTCTTCGTATGACAGAGTCGCTGCAGGGTTCTTTCTGATGCTCGCATACGGTCGTTTGCGGTTCAGTGACGGGCAGAGGATTACCAGCTTCCTGTTGGATCAACCCGACCCCAACAAGCCTGAGCTGGGATATCTGGAGTGTACTGCCAAACGCACAAAGTCGCAGGTTGGCATGATCAAGAAGGCAAAGGTCCTGCCCGTGGTGATCCCGCTGGCTGCGGTGGGTCTCTGCTGGATCCCTACCTGGCTTGTCCTCCGGATGAAGGCCGGGCTGTGCTATGGAGGGTCGGTGCCGGAGACTGAGCCCATTCTCCCGGCGGTTGCGGCAGGAGGCGGCTGGACTCGAGTCCCCCTTGACGTTTCGGCGGCTAGTGATTGGTTGAGGCAGCTGTTGAGGCATACTGCGCAGGTCGGTCCCATCAAGGTGGGTACTCACAGCGCCAAGGCAACTATGCTCAGTTGGGCCGCCAAAGTCGGCATGGATGAGGGGCCCCGACGCCTGTTGGGCTTCCACGTGAAGACTGGAGACTCCCTGGTCGTCTACAGCCGAGATGCTATGTCCCATCCTATGCGGTTGCTCGTGCGGCTCATCCTGGACGTCAAGAACGGCAAGTTCGATCCAGACTTGACCCGCTCCGGGGCTTTGGCTAGTGAGCTGGCTGGGGAGTCGGAGTCTTCCGAGGGCTCGACGGATGAAGAGTGCAAGCAGGTGTCGGAAGAAGAGAGGGCCGTGGAAGATGTCGTCGGCGAGTGGGACCCGGGCCACGGCCCCGACGAACACTTTGCAAGGCACCTTGTCTCACGATGCATTCACAAGGTTCGGGATGAGGCTGGGTCGCAGCTGGTGTGTGGCCGCACTATCAGCACGCGCTTTGAGGTCCTGAACAAGAAACCGGCATTCATGCACCCCTTGTGCTCAGGATGTTTCAGTGTCTGAACAATTTTGGAACGCACTCGCGCAGGCCTACGAAAACGTGATGGGTGAAGGGACACTTGTCTGAGTAGACATGCAGCGACATGGGTGCACATGGTACAAGAGGGCTCTGCATCACTTGATGTTTGAGTACCACAGTGAGCGATCATGTCATGAGGGTGTGAGAGTCAGCTCGAGGATGATAAATGTGAATCTTGACGCGCGCCCTCAATGTCTTGAGATTTTGAGAGTGGTAGAGATCTGATCCGTCATGTCGGTGGCTGACAGCAAAGCGGTCTTCAAAGCTCGGGCGGTGGCCGTGGGCCTCGAACCTGAGATCTTGACGCACCTCGCGAATGGCGAGATTGACACGTTGGCTTCGCTGGCCTTTTCTTGCAGCTACACCCCAGGTAGCTCCGATGACTCGGTCTTTGTGACGCTGATGGGCAAGCTATGTGGCAAGGATCCTGGGGTCAAGCAGTTGGCGTGCCTCCGCAGGTTGTTCGCGGAAGCGTACGCCATCGTAGCGAGTGACATCAAGACTCAGGTAGAATCTTCAGACGATGTCCCTATCAAACGTTTGGCACCAGCCGACCGTGCCCAGAGGTTGGCCGATCAACAGAAGAGGCTGGCCGGCCTCAACTTGAGGGGCCATTTGGAGCCAGGAGATGGCCTGGTAGACAGATGTGCCCATATCTATGAGACAGACCGGCTGGCTTACGTTGAGTGGGCGGCCTGTGTATCCAGAGACCATGAGGTGTTGACTGGCACCAAGAAAGACGGCATGCTGGTCCTTGATGCTCACGGCCAAGTCAAAATGTCGTCGAAGCAAGGTGCAGCTCCATGCGAGACTACCACAGAGCTCCAGGTGCGCTACTGCCTAATGAGGCGTGGTCTGGCGTTTGAGCAAGCGAATATCCTCGATTATAAGCTGCGCGACCAGTTGATCGAAAAGTACTTTGAATATCGACTGATGCCGACACCTCCTGGCTTTGCAGCTGTCGGGATGGGGCAGATCGAAGCGGCCGACCGTCGGTTCTTCATGCTTATGGCAGAGCGCACGAGGTCGGGGATCAAAGCCACCGCCAGTGGACGGCCTTGTGACAAGGAGTTCAAGGCATGCATCGAGAGCAGTGAGTTCCTTTCGATGATCCAGCACAAGCCTTTGGCTGCTGCTGCCAAGGAAGCCTGGACTGAGGAAGGCTCCCCAACCAAGAAGCGCCGCTTGGGCTCAAAGGGCCGAGGCAAGGGCAAGGGCAAAGGCCGCGGTGAGCGGTCCGCAGGAGGCATTGTTCCGGCCCAGCTACTGCGCCTCGGATGTGTTGCCTGTACCTCCCGTGGGAACCCCGTGTGCTTTGACTATTCGCTCAAGAAATGCGAGCGCAAGGTCACGGGCAACAAGTGTGAGCGCGGCTTACATGTTTGCGCTGTTGCCAAATGCCATGGCAACCATCCGGCCACGGAATGCCCACGGGCATCTAAGGCGGATTGACTAGGGCACGGGAAGGAGGAGGCGGGTCATGTACGGCCCGCAGAACCCGAGGAAGATGCCTCGGGGGATGTGCCACGCAAGGGTGTGGCAGAGACGCCTGTGGGCGATCGCAAGTGTGCGAGTGAGGCGCCGCCTCTACCTGTACAGTCGGTTTCGTTTTCCAATGTCACAGAAGAATGCTTCGATTCCTTTTGCAAGAGTTTACTTGATGACACCTCTCTGAATCCATGCGACCGCATTTTGCAGTTGCTTGAGCAGGCGCCTGTGCAAGAACCGCCCCGCGAAGGGGCCCAAGCAGGTGCGAAGAGTTTCCAAGTCGGTGTCTACAATCATGGAGGGGTTACGGGGCTTCGAGCCGCCACGCACAGATACCCTCATGCTTGTCGAATTTTGACCGACGCCGTTCGGATGGTGTGTGCTGACCACATCTTTTCATCAGTTGCCCTGTTCCGCAACATACAGGTTGCGCCTCATGCTGACTCGCGCAACAGCCCAGTGCCAAACTTGATTGTTCCTGTCACTCTGTTTTCAGGTGGTCAACTGTTTGTCGTGCATCAGGATGGACCCGACCGAAACGTGTGTGATGGGAAAGAGGAGTCAGGCTTTAGCTTGGATGTCGCTGCGAAGCCCTGGCTGTTCGATGCAAAACATTGCAAACACTTCGCGTTGCCATGGAAAGGGACACGGCTCGTCATGGTTGCTTTCACGGTGGGCCTCCTCCGAAACCTGTCAAGCCAAGATGCTGCCGTTGCGGCGGGTCTCGGTTTCAACTTGCCGTCATGCGACCTGCCTGAACCGGGCTGTTCCAAGCCTACGAATGCGTCGTTACTTGACCTGCGCCGACCTCCCGGGCCCCGACCCGAAGGAGAACAGTCCCCGGCTGGCCTTCAGTCCCCCGTGACGACCGAGGAAGGGCAGCAACTCCCTGAGATCAGGGCCCCGGAGGTCGTTGATGTATCCAAGGACCCGCGCCACCCTTCAGTGTCCGCGAGGGCCGATGCTGGGCAGCCCTTCCCCGAGTGCCGGGCCCCGGAGGTCGGTGGTTCGGTATCCCTGCCGGGTGATGGTCCCCTTCTTGTTGAGTTGTGCGCCGGATCCGCCGTACTGAGCAGCGTGGCATCCACGCGTGGATTCTCGACACTAGCCGTGGACCATGCCTTGAACCGTCACACACCCAAAAGCAAGATTACTGTCTTGGACTTGAGCCTTCCAGCCTCGTGGAGCACGTTGGGGTACATTCTGGAAAACCGAGAAGTGGCTCTCTTGTTCGCAGCGCCCCCGTGTGGGACTTGCTCCGCAGCGCGGGAAATCCCGCTGGAGGACGGGTCGATGGGCCCACCTGTGTTGCGCACGCATGAGTTTCCCTACGGCGTGCCGGGCTTATCTCCGCATAACCGGCTCAAAGTTGAGAAAGCCAATGCCCTGTATGAGTGCTTGGCAAAATTCCTGCTGCTGGCGCATAAGCGCCGTATCCCTTGGATGGTGGAGAATCCCACCGGCAGCCTCCTTTGGATCTTGCCTTGTTTTGCAGAGCTTGTCAAACTCGGACGGTTTTCACACTGCGAGTCATGTGCGTTTGGGGGCCAGCGTTTAAAACGTACCAGCTTCTTGGGCAGCGATCGATGGCCTGGATTGTGTTTGAGATGTCCGGGGAATCATGAACATGCACCGTGGGGTCAGTCTGCGGATGGGTCCTTTGCCACGGCCCTCGAAGCTGAGTACCCTTCGAAGCTGTGTCATGCTGTTTGTGATTTTGCTGAACACATGTGCCGTGAGAGGGCGCTTCCCTTAGGTTCTGCTGCTCCCCTGGTGCCGAGGGCTTATCGTCAACCCCGGGGCCGGCTGCATCCGCAGGTCATCCCTGAGTACCAGCATACCGTATCCACCATTGTGCCTGCGTCGCCGTCTCTCGACGACAAACAATGCCTGCGTACTGCTTTGCAAACGCCCAGGGGTCTCCTACCCGCTGGGAACAAGCTTCTGCGTTCCGAAAATAGGGGAGGTGGTAAGTGGTTCTGTGTCTTTGGTGTGTTTTGGGATCCCTTGTCCTTTGTAGAAGAGGCGAGGAGGCTTTGGCACCCTTTCGACTCGCTGGCCCACCTGCCAGACTACTTGATCACCGCCCTTCATGAGCAGCTTTCCTTGTCACCAATGGACTTGACTAAGTTGAGGCTGACACGTCTGAAGCATTGGCAGGATCTGGCAAAGTCGCTGCGTCAAAAGGATGCGACTATGAAAGAGCAACTGCATCCGGACGTGCAAGGCATACTGAAAGGGAAACATCTGGCCTTGTTGGCGCATCTTGTCGACGAGATCCAATGGCCGGACGCGCATTTGTTGCCTGAGCTGTGCCAGGGTTTCCGACTCGTAGGCCCTGCCAATAAGTCGGGTGTGTTCAGGGCTGGCTTGGTAGTTGCTTCGCAGGATGAGTGCCAACTCATGCGCAGAGCGCCAGAGATTAGGGAAGGCATTTTGAAGCGGCTGGAGTCAGAACCAGTGACTGAATACGCTCAAGAGCTGTGCGACATCACTCGTGAGGAGGCCGACGTTAAAGGGTGGCTGGAGGGCCCCTTCTCCCCTGACGAAGTCAGTGATCGCCTAGGAGAATGGCTCCCTGTGCGGAGGTTTGCTGTGCGTCAGGGGGCGAAACTGCGCCCCATCGACGACCTGCGTGAGAATGAGGTCAACTCCTGCTTCTCGAGTGTTGAGAAGGTCACCTTGTCTGCCATGGACCATGTGCTGTGGTCGGCTAACATCTTGGTTGCATACTTCCGGGATAGGGGTGCCTACCGCTTTACTTTGTCCACAGGCCAGGTGCTGTCGGGTAAGGTTCATCACGCTTGGTCCGACGCCGGGGCCGAGTTGCGCATGTCGTCTCTTGACCTAAAATCAGCGTATAAGCAACTCCCCTTGTCTCCGCTCGATCACAACAAGTCCGTCGTGTGCCTCCGGAACCCTCGGAGTATGGCTTTGGAGTGCTACATCATGAAGACGCTCCCCTTTGGGGGAGCGGCGAGCGTCCCGTCCTTCTTGCGATGCAGTTCCCTTATCCACGCCTTGGGGTGCCGATTGGGGCTTTGCTGGTCGAACTACTTCGACGACTTCCCGGTGATATCGCACTCCCTGTGCGCGTCATCGACCATGGCCTGCATGGTGGGTTTTCTAAAGTTGTTGGGGTTCGATCACGCTAAGGAAAAGCTACTCCCCTTTGATGTGAAGGCGGAAGTTCTCGGCGTCCAGGTAGACTTGACTGGCGCTCCTAAAGGGGTAATCCAGGTTAAGAATAAGGATAGCCGGGTTGCTGAGTTGTTGCCAGTGCTTGAGGCGGCGTGTCGCGACAAGAAAGTCATCCCGGCCCACCTGCCATCTTTCGTCGGCAAACTTCAGTATGCCGATGCTCAGATTTGGGGGAGAGCGGGGCGTTTGGCGTTGCATGATGTTAGAGCTTTGGCGCATACCTCCAAGGTACCTGTGAGCCTGGACCCCAGTGGTCTGGCGGCTTTGAACCTTCTGAAGGAACGCTTCATGCGGGGTAGGCCTCGCACCTTACTTGCCTCCCGAGGGGAACTCCCGTTCCTCATGTTCACTGATGGCGCTCTTGAAGAGGGGCATGCCAAGCTTGGTCTCCCGCCTGCCACCATAGGAGGCTTGCTCTTGTGGCCCGGGCGTAGTCAGCGGGCTGAGTATTTTGGATGTGCTGTTCCTGAGACCGTGCTGGAAATGTGGCGCGCGGATGGGAAGTCACATGTCATCGGCCTAGTGGAGCTCTTTGCCGTCGTGGTGGGCATCCGCACCTGGAAGTCGTACTTCGAGGGAAGGAGGTTGCTAACGTTCATCGACAACTACGCTGCGCTCGATGTTGCTATCAAGGGATCCGCGTCTGTCAAGCAGTGGCGCGATTTGTTGTTGCTACTTGAGTGCCCCGATGAAACGTCCCCCACGCTCATGTGGCATGCAAGGGTACCCTCGAAGTCGAACCCGTCAGATGGGCCCAGCCGGGGTGACACGTCCCTGATGGAATCCTTCCACGCTAAGCGCGTCACGCCTGTATGTCCCGTGACACAGGTGCAGCTGCGGAACTTGTAACCAGATAGATGTGTGCTGAAGCAGACCGGGGAAATTGACCAAATGTGGTCGACGGGATGTGCCCGCGATGTGCAATGTGCACGTAGTGTTGAACTTGATATGCATCCCCAGTTTGCCAAGAGAGGAAAAGAGCGCCTCTGATTGTGAGACCTATATTGTCAGTGGAATGAATCATACATGTATAATTGCGATTGATGCTTTCAAGAATTTTGGGGATATTTGATAAGCATATCTGAGCGCGAGCGCTCCGTTGGTTTATCAAGCCCCCAAAACAGCGTTAATTTTAAAAGCGTTCTTGAAAGGCTTTTTCACGGTCGTGATATGTGGTCCTTTGATTTTGGGAACACCTGCGCGCGCTCTCAAAACGGAGCCATGTGTATAGTGTGTTTTCAACGAATCCGTATGAGCTTCACTGCACAACGTATTGCATTCATGATTTCTTCATAAGAACACATGAGCAAATTTTAATGTGATGCTTGATGTGAATTTTCACTGGCTTGTGTGTTGAGTGGTCTGGTCCAAGCCGGGCTCTTGCAGAGCTCAGAGTGAAAATTTTCCCACCCACCCAACCCTAGGGGGAAATTGACCAAATGTGGTCGACGGGATGTGCCCGCGTGTTTGCTGGACGCAGCGAAACACAGCAGGACGGCGGGGAGCCGACCTTCTCACAACGTACGCTAAATTTGTATAACTAGCTAGCGCATTCCGTTATCAGATTCCAAGCTGTACAGTCTCACCCTTTCAGTGTTGAATTCAGTTTCACCTCCTAACCATGAGCTGCAAACCAATTTTCGGTGGTGAGACGGTGCAAATCGCCCGCAATGAGCAGAGCCCGCTCGCTCAGCGTTCAATAAATAGTAGTAGTAGTAGTAGTAGTAGTAGTAGTAGTAGTAGTAGTAGTAGTAGTAGTAGTAGTATTAGTAGTAGTAGTAGTAGTAGTAGTAGTAGTACTACTACTAGTAGTAGTAGTAGCAGTAGTAGCAGTAGTAGTAGCAGTAGTAGCAGTAGTAGTAGTAGTAGTAGTACTAGTAGTAGTAGTAGTAGTAGTAGTAGTAGTAGTAGCAGTAGTAGTAGTAGTAGTAGTAGTAGTAGTCGTAGTAGTAGTAGTAGTAGTCGTAGTAGTAGTAGTAGTAGTAATAGTCGTCGTCGTAGTAGTAGTAGTAGCAGTAGCAGTAGTAGTCGTAGTAGTAGTAGTAGTAGTAGTAGTAGTAGTAGTCGTAGTAGTAGTAGTAGTAGTAGTAGTAGTAGTAGTAGTAGTAGTAGTAGTAGTAGCAGTAGTAGCAGTAGTACTAGTAGTAGTAAGTGTAATAGTTGTTATTGTAGTAGCAGTAGTCGTAGTCGTAGTCGTAGTAGTAGTAGTAGTAGTAGTAGTAGTAGTAGTAGTAGTAGTAGTAGTAGTAGTAGTAGTAGTAGTAGAAGTAGTAGTAGTAGTAGTAGTAGTAGTATAGTAGTAGTAGTAGTAGTAGTAGTAGTAGTAGTAGTAGTAGTAGTAGTAGTAGTAGTAGTAGTAGTAGTAGTAGTAGTAGTAGTAGTAGTAGTAGTAGTAGTAGTAGTAGTAGTAGTAGTAGTAGTAGTAGTAGTAGTAGTAGTAGTAGTAGTAGTAGTAGTAGTAGTAGTAGTAGTAGTAGTAGTAGTAGTAGTAGTAGTAGTAGTAGTAGTAGTAGTAGTAGTAGTAGTAGTAGTAGTAGTAGTAGTAGTAGTAGTAGTAGTAGTAGTAGTAGTAGTCGTAGTAGTAGTAGTAGTAGTAGTAGTAGTAGTAGTAGTAGCAGTAGTAGCAGTAGTAGCAGTAGTACTAGTAGTAGTAAGTGTAATAGTTGTTATTGTAGTAGCAGTAGTCGTAGTCGTCGTAGTAGTAGTAGTAGTAGTAGTAGTAGTCGTAGTAGTAGCAGTAGCAGTAGCAGTAGCAGTAGCAGTAGCAGTAGCAGTAGCAGTAGCTTTTGGTTTACTCTGTGATACTGCAGCTGAGACGTCGAGTTCATGGATTTTGCAACTGATGGATTCTGCAACTGTAAGGTCTCTGTTCTGCTTCTTGCGCAATTTCTTCGCGGAGGCGACAGACATAGCGGGAGAGTGCTTCGCACCCCCATTTTGCCGTTAGGCAAAAAATCCAAGTTTTCTTGTTTGTATCTTGTGTTCATTGTTCGAAAAGCTGAGAAGTCGAGAAGTTTAAAACACTAGTCCAAATTCCACCTCCTCGTTTCTTGGTTTTTGTTTCTTGTATTTGAGAAGCAAATAACATTGATAGCTGCGCGGTCATGGTCCATTTCGCTTTGGGGTGTCGTGCTCGGACTTTCAACTTGTCCGCTTTGTCCAGAGCATGCTTTAGATATCAAGACATGCGCTGTGTAGCTCTGCTGTATTGGACCCCATAGCGGCGCATATTGACATGATGGCTTCCAAGCGTATTCATTGCCTTCCGCCAAGCACCTGGAGACCAGTAAGGCCTGTGAGGACCACAGACATTGGCAGGAAAAAGTTCTTCCAGTCCCGGGACGCCAACAACTGCAGTTATAAGCCGATGTCCAGCCATAATGGTGGTGAGAGTCTTTAACGGAAAAGGTGGGTCGATTGTTTGGGACCTGGCTTATTGGAATCTTCCAGCCAACTTTACTGCATGGAGTGGGCCAATGAGGGGTGATCTGAAGGCTTCGTTTTGGAGTGGGAAGTCTAGAAGGTTTCGTTTTGGCGTGGGCCGATGAGGGGTGACTGGAAGGTTTCGACGAGGGGTGCTCTGGAAGGCTTCGTTTTTGGAGTGGGTCGACGAGGCTGATCTGGAAGGCTTCGTTGGAGTGGCCGATGTGGGGTGATCTAGGAAGGCTTCGTTTTGGAGTCCCGATGAGGGCTGATCTGGAACAGTTGTTCAGTTGTTCCAAGGCCGCCAAAAGCGTGAATACGCTTCCGGTGTCGCTCTAACAGACTGGCTACATCCGGTACTGCAGGCGAACCTTTTGCAATACCATAGACTGTGAAAACATGGCTGTCTAGATACTGCTTGTCAATGCCCATCCCAGCCACCCAAGGAATCAGAGATTTTGGAGGATTCGCTTTCCCTCCCAAAGCCATTTTTGTCCTTGTGGCTCCGTTGAGATTGGCGCCGCGCTCTCAGACCAGAACAAGAGAGGAGACAGGCTGCAGGTTTGGGTAGTGGAACTGGGGTTGAGGGCGCCCCTTTCATACAGCACCAGGTGCTGTGAGTGATCGGTGTCGTGCACTCAGACCGCGTTGGTCTACTTAACAGAGTGTGTCTGTCCTTGTGCTTTCTGGTCTCGCGGACCGTGACTGAAACTATTCGGTCTTTGGAACACCTGGAGGGTACCCGTGGACCCCAAATACCAAAACCAGAACCACAACAAGAACCTTGCAACACCTAAAAATATGAAAAACTAAACTTAAAACCTTGAAAAGTGCTGAAAGGCTTCGTTTTGGAGTGGGCCGGTGAGGGGGGTGATATGCAAGGCTTCGTTTTGGGAGTGGGCGATGAGGGGTGATCTGGAAGGCTTCGTTTTGGAGTGGGCCGATGAGGGGTGATCTGGAAGGCTTCGTTTCGGAGTGGGCCGGTGAGGGGTGATATGGAAGGCTTCGTTTTGGAGTGGGCGATGAGAGGGTTTTGTTTTGGAGTTGGCCGATGAGATGAGGGGTGATCTAGAAGGCTTCGTTTTGGAGTGGGGCGGTGAGGGGTGACATGGAAGGCTTCGTTTTGGAGTTGGCCGACGTGATGTGGAAGGCAAACCCCAAACCCCAAACCCCAAACCCCAAACCCCAAGCCCCAAACCCCAAACCCCAAACCCCAAACCCTAAACCCTAAACCCTATGGAGGACTTTGGAAGTGAAGCCCTGGGTTTGCCGGTCCAGGTTTGTGTGAGATTCTTTGAGACTGCCTTGGGATTGTCCGGCATGTTGCAAGTTTGCAAGCTCCAAGCACCGGTTGAGAATCTGTAGCCGGCAACAAGAAGCAAGAATCCTCCCTAGATGGTTTTCAAGAAAGATGTGGGGTTTGAAGTTTAGGGTGTTTGGCATCTGGCTGTAGGATGCTAGGGTTTCTGGGGTGGTTGGTTAACATCATCCTGCCGCACCGTGTGAGAGCACCGGCGCTGGGGCCATGACTGCCAAGGTGCTGCGAGCTCAGGGACTTCCGTTTTCCGCTAGGAGGCAGGACTTGGAGAAGTTCTTCGAAGGCTATGGGCTGTCTGGGCGGATGCATCTACAGGCAGATGCATATGACAAGCCCACAGGCATCGCATTTGTGGAGTTTGCCTCGGAGGTGGAGGCGAAGCGAGCCAAAGCGGAGCGGAACATGCAGCATCTGGGCAGCCGCTATATCGAGCTGCTGGATGCCCGACATGGAGACCTTGACCATCTCACCTCCAACCAAGGCAGACCTGTCATGGCCAACGTGTTGCGAGCTCAGGGACTTCCATTCTCTGCTTCGAGACAGGACTTGGAGAAGTTCTTTACAGGTTATGGCCTGTCTGGACGGCAGCATATTCAGACCGATGCCTTCGGCCAGCCCACCGGCATCGCTTTTGTGGAGTTTACTTCCGAAGGCGAGGCCAAGCGAGCCAAATCCGAGCTGAACATGCAGCACATGGGCAGCCGCTACATCGAGTTGCAGGATGCCCGAGATCGAGACCTCGACTATCTCTCCGGATCCTTGGGCTCAGGCCGACCTGTCACGTCCCAGGCACTGCGAGTTCAGGGAATTCCATTCTCTGCTTCGAGACAGGACTTGGAGCAGTTCTTCGATGGCTACGGACTGTCTGGAAGAATGCAGCTGCAGAAGGATCCTTTCGGCCAGCCCACCGGCATCGCCTTTGTGGAGTTTACCTCCGAAGGCGAGGCCAAGCGAGCGAAAGCCGAGCTGAACATGCAGCACATGGGCAGCCGCTACATCCAGCTGCAGGATGCCAGAGATCGAGACCTCGACATGTGTTTCGGGGGTGGCAAAGAGGGCATGGGGGAGGGCATGTTGGACTTCCTGCAAGCGTTAATGGCCGGCTGGG